AAGACTGTTTTGAGAATGAAATGAGTAAATATACATAAAGGTCTTAGAACAGACCCTGGCAACTAACAAGCATTGCTGAGGTTGGAAATAGCCAGTCTCTGGGCAAAAGCATTCATGGCTTGGATCAAAGGGAAACGACTGTTCTATGTTACGTTTTGATTATTTTATTTACTGTTACCTAAAAAATACAACTCTTTCAAAATCTAAAACTTCATGCCCACTTCCACATCCGGTGAAGGCCAGAAAAGGCAATTCCTTCACTTGTTATGAGAAGCTATTAGTGGCATAAGTAGTACGTAGGTTAGAGTTTTTAGGTATTATCTCAATAGTTACGTGGTTGATAATTGCTTTAGCTTCACGCAGCTTCTCTTTCAAGCTGTCCACCTAGATTTTAAGTTAATTGGCTAACGTTTGAGACTTGTTTTCCATTAGAGATCTTTAAAGTAGAGCCATAAATCTTGGGCAACCAGAAAAAGATTTCATCTTCCCAAGTTCCTACAAGAGCAGAAGTGGGGATAATTAAAAGTAATAATAAGTGGAAGCCTGCATCACTATGGAGGACTTCCAGCTGCGTGCCCCGAACACCTGGACAGCTCCCTCTGCCCAGTGCCAGCCCCCTCCCACCCCCTCTGCAATCTGGCCACATCCAGCAAGAAGAAGAGAAATCAGACCTCCTGAGAACCCTTGATATGAACATAGGCACGTATTCGTCGGGACTCTATTCCAGTGCATGCTACAATGAACATAGCTGTAATGTTTAATTTACTCAGATCAAAGCTAGCATGATCATTATACTTCAATAAAAAGATTTTAAAATATACACTCATACTATGTGTCCTTTTCATACATACATTATATTTTTAAATCTGAAAATTTAATACAAATGTGTACCCCACCATTCCTCTGAATTTGAGCTGCATTTTTAGACTAACAACCAGATGTTTCAAAATAGCCTACTGTGAACCGTTTCCTCTCTCTGCATTTATAAATAGCACCCTGACCTCTTTTCCAACTGAATTTGAGGGCTTATTCCTAGTGGTTCTGTAATTGTCAAAGTCTCTTTTTTTTTCTTAGGAAAAGAGGATATCTCAGCAAGTGTCTCCCAACTTATTGATTCATTTATTTATAATTATTCATTCCATAAATATTTAAGGTACACAATATACTCTCTCCAAGATAATAGTGGGAAATATTTGCAGTTCAAGATAACAGCACCCATTTATCTCATTTGAGAACAGTGTGTTAAAGTGCTACAAAAAAAAGTAAAGATGCAATGTCTTCTCTCAAAGAGTTTAAAACAAAAAGGGTAGACTGGACATGACCAAAGGAAAACAGCATGCATATGAACAGTCAGTTCCTTACTACAGCGAAAAGTACCAATGCAGAAGGAGTATCAAAAATTGGAAGACTCTGATGTACCCAAAATAGCACTTAAATAATAATAAGAAAAATCAAATTATGTGACCTTGACTTTCACATGGTTTACATTTTAAGTATTTTTTTATTTTTTTAGTACAGAGAGAAGCAGCACCAACATCTTTCATGAGTGCCAGGGGGACTCTCAAAATCTCCAACTTGACTTTCACATGGTTTACATTTTAAGTATTTTTTTTTTATTTTTTTAGTACAGAGAGAAGAAGCACCAACATCTTTCATGAGTGCCAGGGGAACTCTCAAAATCTCCAGTCAGCTTCCTGAATATAAGTGAAATATGCAGTAATTTGATCCTCGAGGATGGAGTGCTCAATGAAGGAGCGATAGAGGAGAGCTGCAAGATGTGTAGAAGAAATGTAGCGAAAAGGAAACAGAAGCATCTGGGTAGAAGGAATGCCATAAAGGGGGCAAAGAGGGAGGAGATGTCTGCAGGCAATAGCAAGCAGATGGGAGTACCTGGGAGGGACCAAGAGTTCAATAAAAGGTGATGCCAGAAAAGGAAGCTGGAAGTGGCGATGAAGGGCCTTCAAGGGCGGACTAAAAATTCTGACCTTCACCAAGATACTGCGAGCGCATCTTGGCAACCACTTTCAACCATCACCACCCCAGCAAGTCCAAGTCTCCCGGTCATCGGCATGGAGACAATACTTCCCTTTTGCTCTTTCTTGACTATCTCTCCAACTCCAAAGGCTTAAACCATTCTCTTCCTAAAGCTATGTGACATAACAGTCCCTTTGCAACCCATTTTTGTGAGAGCTACGAAGGCAGATGCACTATCTTGAGTATTCCTTCCCTGAGTATTCCCTCACCTACCCATGCACCTCTGTACACAAATGGTATAATATAGAAACATCATTCTTCCTACTTCTCCTCTAGTAGTTTTATCCCTGAAGCTGCTCAAAACGATTTCTTCAACCCAGATCAGGACTCCTTTGTTTCCTCCATGGCATAAGTAAGGAAGTAAGTTTATGCTGAGTCAAAACTGTAACAAAATTCACAGATCAAATTTCTAACTAGAAAAGATCATGTGAAGAGAGTATCATTAACTGTTAGTGAATTAAGGAAATAAGCAAAATGGTTTACCTATCATTAAATATTTAATCTGGCTAATGCTTAAAAGAAACCTGAAATAATAAACTACAGGGGTCTAGGACTTCACAAAAAAAGATGAGAAGACATCTCCTAGCCTCTAATCTCTCATCAATCACTTCTTGTCAAAGCTATGAAATATTTCCAACATTAATAACAAGTTCTCTCTACCTAATTAATATTTCACAGAGAATTTTTTAAACCTCTCTGTTTAGAGTAATGAAAAGACTGGATCCAAAGAGTCAATAAATAACTGGGGGGGGGGACCCTTGTTAAAATAAGGCTTTAACAGTAATGTCCATGCTAGCATTTTCATAGCATCTTTCACCAAACTTTCTCCAAGTTGCAGGGACATGGGGTAGAAAGCAGTAAAAGAAGAAATACCTTCTTTGATATCATGAGGTCTATAACCCAGAATCCTAGGCAGGCTTTTATTTTTCTTAATCTTTATTGTTAAAAGTATTATATATGTCCCCTTCTTTCCCCCATTGACCCCTTCTAGTCTATCCCCATGCCCTGCCCCAGGCCTTCACCACCCTATTGTCTGTGTCCATGGGTTTTGCATATATGCATACAAGTTCTTTG